CCTCCCGGGTTCAGGCAATTCTCCTGCCCCAGCCTCCTGAGTCGCTGGGATTACAGGCACGCGCCACCATGCCCAGCTAATTTTTCGTATTTTTAGTAGAGACGGGGTTTCACCATGTTGATCAGGATGGTCTCGATCTTTTGACCTCGTGATCCACCCGCGTCGGCCTCCCACAGTGCTGGGATTACAGGCTTGAGCCACCGCGCCCGGCCGACAAACTAATTCTTGTAGCACCAACCATAGATTTCCTCTACAAGCTCCTTGTAATTCCTTCCTGATCTCTCTCCCTTCTAGGATCTTAGGGTGTCCGAAAAACTCAAAGCTATGTAAACACAACATATTAGTTATTGGAGATGGGATAGCTTCTTGTTTTCTTTCCCTTGTGATACGCTTTGGCTGTGTCCCCATCCAAATCTCAACTTGAATTGCATATCCCAGAATTCCCATGTTTTCTGAGAGGGACCCAGGGGGAGGTAGTTGAATCATGGGGCCAGTCTTTCCCATGCTATTCTCCTTATAGTTAACGAGCCTCATGAGATCTGATGGTTTTATTAGGGGTTTCCACTTTTGCGTCTGCCTCATTTTCTTTTGCCACCACCATGTAAGAAGTGCCTTTCACCTCCTGCCATGATTCTGAGGCCTCCCCAGCCATGTGGAACTATAAGTTCAATTAAATCTCTTTTTCTTCCCAGTTTTGGGTATGTCGTTATCAGCAGCATGAAAATGAACTAACACCTTGTTTTCTCACTGTGGGGTTGTAAACCTTTGTAAATGTGGCCACCTTAGAACAGACGTTAAGTGGAATTAAGAATTGTAGGGTAGTAATGAAGCCAGGGTAGGACGTTGCCTTGTGTAGGACCAAGTTTTCTGTTTTCACGCCTAATTTTGTCCTTCCCTTAAAAGATGTCTCCTTGTAGTATTCTACCAGACTGCCTTAGTCTTCTCATTTTCCTTTCTATCAAAGCTTATTTTTATAAAGACTGGGTTCAATATATTGATGTGATTGTGATATGACCCTCCTTCTAGAGGCAAGGCATTGTAACAGAATATCAAAATTGTAAAGATGACTCCCTCAGACCCTAAAAAACAAACCCTTGGCCTTGAGCAGTCCTGTTAGAACCAAGTCTATAGGGAAGTTTGTGAAAGTAACTTGCAAAGCTCTTCAGTATGGACATTAAATAGCCTAGTTTTTCCTAATTGTGCCTCATTTCAACTGTGCCCTCTGGACACTACTGGCTCCCCAGTGATTGGGTTGAGTATAAGCCCCTCAATATGAGTAAAAGAAGAAGAAGTTAATTCGATCACTGAGTCTTGCTAGCATATTAAAAATTGGATAAATTAATGTTCCACCATATGTTTTGTCTTTGGCCAGCCAGATGAGGCCTATTTTTGGATTTAAACTGCTTAGAATTCTTCAGGCAAGTCTTGATGCAGCAATTCTTGGACAGCCAGAACTTCACCAGGTTCACAGGAGAACTCAGATGAAACCAACACCTCATCCACACTGGTTTCCTTTGGAGAGCTGAAACCATTGAGAGCTAGTTTTCATAGCACCAGAATGACAAGTGCAAGTTCAGTAGATCAGTGTTTATCATCCAGGTGCCATATTGTGCCCCAGGAGACATTCGACAATGATGGGTTGTTACTGGCATCTAGCAGGCAGAAGTCAGAGATGCTGCTTAACATCTTACAGCAGGACGGTTGCCACAGGAAGCGTTATCCAGACCCAAATGTCAACAGTGCCAAGGTTGAGAAGCCCTGCGGGAGAGAATGCTGAATGTCAAAACCAGGGAAGCAAAATCTGTCAGTGGTGAAAGGGATGTGCATGGGGCTTAGAGAAGAAGCAAAGCCAGAGTCAGGACACAGGTAGATTCTGGAGAACTGGAAGTGAGGACCAAAACCAGGAGGACAGTGAGAGAAACCAAGACCACGGCTACGATCGGGGTTGTGATACTCGAAGCTCCCTTGGCTTGTCTGGTGGCGGACTGGGCTTGCCTAATTTCTAGGCCCGGATTTGGGGCTTGTAATAATGGTGGCAGATGGGCAGTGCTTTGGGAAACGTAGCTGACCACTGCATGGGTGCTAACTAGCCCAAGGGGCTTAAAGAATTTGTGTGGGCCTTGAGGATCCACTGCAGACGTTAAATAGTCATAGAATTGAATCTAGGACATCACTGTCTGATACCACCAGTTTTACCTGTTCTAAGAATCCTAATGGCCTGATTTAATTTATGGATTTTTGTTTTGTTGATTTTCAGTAAAGCATCATGTTAGTGTATTATGGAGGGAAGTGAATTCATGGCTGGTGCTTCTTTCTTTTTTTTTGGAGATGGAGTGTCACTCTGTCACCCAGGCTGGAGTGCAGTGGCGTGATCTTGGCTCACTGCGACCTCCGCCTCCCAGGTTCAAGCGATTCACCTGCCTCAGCCTCCCGAGTAGCTGGGACTACAGGCACATGCCACCATGCCTGGCTAATTTTTTGTATTTTTAGTAGAGACAGGGTTTCACTGTGTTAGCCAGGATGGTCTCGACCTGCTGACCTCATGATCCACCAGCCTCGGCCTCCCAAAGTGCTGGGATTACAGGCATGAGCCACCATGCCTAGACATTCATCTTGATATCTCTTAATAGGATCAAGAGGCAGTGTGGCAGGAAGAAAAAATTGTATTTAGTTAAAAAAAAAAAGTAAAGAAAAGAAAAAAGAGACTCTGCCTTTTAAGGGAGGAAGAGCATGACTGTCAGAAGTGAATGGCTCTTTGATGGAGTAAAATGCTTTGATGAGACTATATGGTTGATGAAGATGCCTCTGTCTTGCTTTTTTGCCTACTTCTAGGCAAAACCTAGATTTGTAAGGGTAAGTGAGAGAATTCAACTGCCTCAGCTTAGAAAATAAGGATTTGACAGTTTGTGGGCAGCCCACAAATGAGGGCTTGAGGGGCCCAGTATGTGAGAACTGGAGAAACCGAGGCCATGAGAAGTTCCCCAGGAAGGAGACATTATGGGAAGTGTGTGAAAATGACACAGCTTTAAATTAGGCGCATTCTGGCTGTGAAGGAGTGGTTGTGAAGAAACCACTTCTGTTATTCCTAAAAGCCTCAGTAAACATTCTCTACACCGTAACAGCTTGGGGATAGTTGTGGGGGAAGAGGGAGGGAGGCTGGGTGGGGTTCAGAAGCAGCAGGGAAGAGAGGTGACCCGCAGGAGGGTAAGCCCTACTCCAGCCGCTCCGCTTTCCTATTCCTGCTCTCTGAGACACTGGAAAGGTCACAGGACATCTCATAGTACACGAGACGGGAGCTTGAGCCATTTTATTTGGATAATGAAAGAAAATGTGCCCTCATCAAACTAGAGGGTGTTTGGGACATCTGATTTACAGAACTGAGTCGGGGGAAGAACTGTCAAGCAATGGTGACATCCACCAGCTCTGCATAGTGGGCTCCGGCTTATCACATAAGTGTCCTTGGGCAAATGTTTTCTGCGTAGATTTTAGAAACTCTCCTGTGACTTTCTCAAGGTCTTTTGGTGACACATGCTGCTTGAAGTTTTGTGAGGGGCTGGAGTCTAATCCCTTCTTGCCCAGCTTGTCTGCGGGAGAGGAAGGGAGACATGATACGAGCTGGTTTGACTGAGGTGGTGTAGCCTGGGGTTGCAAGGGCTGTTGCCAAGGCGCTCTGGTGGCATCACATGCTTCAGGAGTTGGAGGAATTTTCCATCATCTTTTGAAGTCTGTCGCCTGAAGATCTCTTGGTTTTGTTGCATTGCAAAGATCATGTCAGCTATGTCTCCTTGCCGTCCTGAGAATGCCCAGCTGCCAGCCCAAGAGCTCTTAAAAGACGCTGCTTGCCAAAGGTGACAAGTTGAAGATGCCAAGGCGTTTGCTGCAGTCCTTTTTCTTGCCCAATCTTTATCATCTTCTGTTAGTCAAGAGTATTCATGGACAGTCCTGGAGTGTCCAAATGGCAGCAATTCATCTTTTCCCCAATCCTACTGAGGGTGTTTCTATGTAGTTGATGAAATAATAATGTTTGTGCATTATTGCTGTTCTCTGGGTTCCATAAACTTCTTCCTCTCTTGGATCTTTGCTCACCAAATCGACCCTAACACTCTCTCTTCAGTCTCTTTCTCTTCAGTTTCCCCTAGATCTTGCCCCTAGACGTTCACTCAGCTGGTTCCTCCTCATTGCCTCCGTCTAAGTTCAAATGTTTCCTCTTTGGACAGTCTGGAGTTTTGCTACCCCTCCTCTCCACCACTCTGTAGTCATTTTTTTTTTTTTTTTTTTACTTCCTTAAGATAGTGCCTGTCACTACCTGTATTGGCTCGTTTACTGGCTTAGTGTCCTAGTCGGTTGTGTTGCTACAAAGGAATATCTGAGGTTGGGTAAATTATAAAGAGAAGAGATTTGTGTGGCTCGTGGTTGTACAGGCTGTACCTGAAGCATGGCCAGCATCTGCTTCTGATGAGGGCTTCAGGAAGCTTCCACTTTTGGCGGAAGGTGAAGGGGAGCAGCATCACATGGCAAGAGGAACGAACAGAGAGGAAGTTCTAGGCTTTCTCTTAGCACCCAGATCTTGCCTGAACTAATAGAGTAAGAACTCACTCATAGGGATGGCACCAAGACCTTCATGCAGGATCTGCCCCCGTGGTCCAAAACCTCCGCTAGGCCTCACCTCCAATACTGGGGCAAATTTCAACATGAGATTTGCAGGGGACAAATATCCAAACTATATCACTTGCTTATTATCTTTCTCCCTCTGCTAGAATGTGAGCTCAAGAAAGACCAGGATTGCATCCAACATGCTCACTATCGTATCCCCCAACGCACAGCTGTGCCCTGCACATAATAGCTTCTCAAGAAATAGTCATGTAATAAGTGAATAGCTGAATGAGTGAATGACTAAGTGAAACTTGCCTTTATAACAAATAAATGTAATAGTACTTTCTAAGCTCTCACCCTCCTCATTGGCCCTGGTGGGTTCCCACCACACTCAGAATTACTGTTCACCTTTCCATGCGTATGAGGCCCCACCTAATCAGGTGCTGGTCTTCTTACCTTTCTATCTCCTACCACTTTTCGCCTTGCCCCAGGAACCTCACTGTCTTTTCTGTTATAGGAACATGCCAAGGTTATTCTTCATGGTCTAGAGAAGAAGCTCTGAACCTAGCTGAATCTGTTTTTGAACTCCAGTTTTGCTTATTGCTAGCTGTGTGATATTGGGAAATTCTTTATGTTCTCTAACCCTTACCTCCCTCATCTGTAAAATGGAAGTAATGATAGTTCCTATCTCATAGGTAACAACTACATGGGGCAGCACACTCAAGGAATTAAGGAAGTTTCAGTGGTTGCCCACTTTATAAAGACAGTGTTAAGGCAGCGCAGTGCAGTAGTTTGGGAGCCAGCAACAGCATGTGGGCTGGAGTGTCGCTGTAGGACAGGAAGTCACAGATACGGATTGAGGGTGGAGTAGGAAGTCCCTGGAACGTCATCCTGGCAGCTTGAGATTGTAGTCTACGTTTCTCTTGTTATTAACTATTTAGGGTGATGGATCTCTGACGTGAGTAGAAGAGTTCCACTCAGCCCCAAAGGTTATATCCATCTAGAACCTCAGCATGTGATTTCATTTGAAAATAGTGCCTTTGCAGCTATAATTTAGGTAAAACTGGAGTTGAGATCATACTGGATCAGGATGGGCTCTAAATTTAATGAAAATGTCTTGATAAAAAAAACAGGAAAGCCGGGCGCGGTGGCTCACACCTGTAATCCCAGCACTTTGGAAGACCAAGGTGGGCAGATCACCTGAGGTCGGGAGTTCGAGACCAGCCTGACCAACAATGGAGAAACCCCATCTCTACTAAAAATACCAAATTAGCAGGGCCTGGTGGTGCATGCCTGTAATCCCAGCTACTCTGGAGGCTGAGGCAGGAGAATCGCTTGAACCCGGGAGGCAGAGGTTGCAGTGAGCCAAGATCATGCCATTGCACTCCAGCCTGGACAAGAAGAGCGAAACTCCGTCTCAAAAAAAAAAAAAGAAAAGAAAAATCAGGAAAGAATGCATAGAGACACAAGGAAGAAAGTCATGTTAAGATGGATGCAGAGATTGGAGGGATGCAGCCACCAGTGCAGAAATGCCCGCGGCCACCAGTAGCTGGAAGGAAATGAAGGATTCTCTCCTAGGACCTTTAGAGAGAATGCGGCCCTGTCAACACCATGATTTTGGACTTGCTTGTAGCTTGTATACTCTTACTTTGGATACAATTTTATCCAAACTTGGCTAAACAGTTTCTCAGGCTACAGAAAATTTAAAATGGAGAAGGTTCAATTTGATTCTTAGAGATACAAAGCAAGAAAATGATGGGAACATTGGAGGAGGCCAAGAAAACCTATAAAAAGCAAAAATATGAAGTCAACATTGTGGTAGCTGTCAGATGTTTGGTGTAGCTGCAGGCACCCTGCACAGGTGAATCCCTGAGGGGATCCCTATATCACAATGTAGTGTGATTATTTGACGTTCATGATCATCTAGAGACATACGGAGCAGGTGAATCTATGTTCTGTATATTCTGCCTAAGGCAGAGAAATGTTTAGCTCCCTTTAAAATAGTTCCATAATATTTCCTAAAAACTTTTGCTTGAAAACTGTAAGCTTCCTATATCTGGAGCATTTCACTTTAAATATCTGGATAAATATGTTATCTTCTTACTTAGACATTTCATGTGTTTAGGGATTTTCATTTAAATTCTTAATCTATATAGCTGCTAACACTTCCTGCAGAGTGAAACCATCATAGATGTGAAATAAAGACCTATTGATTTGAGTTACCTTTACTTGTAAAATCTTCTTGAGTGTTTTAACTTCATTCATTGGATCTTTCAGCTTTTACAGTTTCAAGAGTTTGTGTCACCATTAGAAGAATTCAACTGTACCTCCAGGTGACAGCAGTTGCTCTGGTTGGGTGGGTGATCTCAGGAGGCTTTAGAATGATTTGTCTGTGAGGGAAGTAAAACACTTTCAGAGCTTGACTTTAGAAGGTGTGAACTGGCTAGATAATGAACCTCAGGGCTAACGCTGCTATAGCAGTCGGAAGGAGGTGATGGGTTTTCAGTTTGGACCTCAAACATCAATACCCTTCTAGTAGTGGGAGGAACAGAGCCCCTCCTTTACCTGTCCAATAGAAAGAATGAGATGGTGAGACAATGGGACAGGCAAAGTGAATTCATATGTAAGACAGAATTCAGATGAGAGAGCCAGGGCATCACTCAGCCATTCCTGACATATGTAACAGGCAACGAGAAAGTGGCAGAAAGGAAATGAAGTGTCCATAAAGATATTTTTAAAGTGAGCTTGAAGTATTTGGAGACAATTCAGTGTTACAAAAAATCTGCAGATCTCTGGATAAGGAAGCAGAGGTTTCAGCATGGGACCAATGGAGCCTCAAAGGTGGGAAGAAGACAGACAAGACCAGGGCAGAACACAGCTCTTCGTTTCTCTTGGCTTTCCTGGATAAGGACTGCATCAGTCCTGTGGAAGGACAGGCCATCAGCTCTGGAACACTGTATGTACTTTCCAGTATGTACTGCTACCTGTGTGATGTTGGGAAAATACCTGACCCTGTCTAACCCCCACTTCCCTCAACTGTGAAATGGAAACAATGATAGTACCTACCTATCTGATAGGTGGCAACTATAAGGTGCAGTGTACTGAAGGAATTAAGGAAGCTTCAATGAACGTCAGCTTCATGAACACAGTGTTCATAAAGGCAGCTCAGTGCAGTGGTTTGGGAGCCAGGAACAGCACGTGGGCTCGCGTGTGCCTGTGGATGAGGTCAGAGATGTTGCTAATAATGGAGAATAAATGATGCAGTTTTCATTACCGACCTTGGAATCATTCATTCATTCACAGAATGTGTTTTGTCAACTTACTAAAACACTAAATTAAATAATCTCTGGCTTTGTTTATTTATTTATTTTTTGTTTGTTTATTATAGATACTAAGACTTAGTGGACCCAAAGTTACTGACATCCAGAGTAGACGACAAACATCAGGTGTGCAGTGCTTCTGTGCCAAGTGTCCTTCACCAGATGTGCATGGATCATATTTGGGAGGAATGAGGAGTTCCTGGAAATACATGGAATTCAGTGTAGCTGCACATGTGCACTTTCATGACCAGCCAATCAATAGCTTTCACTATGTTTTCCAGGGTCTGTGATCCTAATAGGGATAAACAACACAGCCTTTTAGAGTACTCTCTTGAAATTTTATTATTGCTATAATACATAAATAATGCAATGTTGAAGTTGTCAAAAATGCATATGAACAAAAAGAAAAATTATTAATGCAAAGACTAGTTCTATAGCTATTCCTACAGATTTTAAATGTTAAAAACATTGTATATGTAGGAAAACATACACACACACCAACTAAAATACACATTAAATATATATACAGTCATGCAGTGCTTAACAAGAGGGATATGTTCTGATAAATGTGTCATTAGGTGATTTCATCACTGTGCAATTATCAGGGTACAGCATTTACACAAACACAGATGGCATATATATAGTTTATGAACATTTATTCACATGGAAAACCAACTGTTTAGCACCATTACTGAATATCAATCACTTCCCCTGCTTGATCTGCAATGCCAATATCAAGTACCATATATCAGGTTTCTGTATGTGCTCCGTAATAATCTTATGGGACCATCATTATACATGCAGCCTGCTGCTGGTTGAAATGTCATTATGTAGCTCATGACACATTATATTTACTATATATTCTTAGAATAATGTTATACAACAAAATATTGGTGAATTGTTTTTCCGCTTTGAAAATCATGCATGCCTTTTCTTATAAATAAATACACATTTATATAATCATCCTAACAGCTGTATAGTAACAAATGTATAATTTTCTGAAGCATTTAAGATTTTTCTGGATTTGCCTCTATTATAAACGGCACCGAGATGTGTAATACTTTTTGCCCACTTATGGAATTATTTTTAAGGACAAATTCCAGGAGTAGCCTTCCTAAGCCACTTTTTAGGTCTTTGGATGTTTTGCCCAGTTGCTTTTTAAAACATTTTATATCAATTTATACCTCAAGGATAGTGTAGGATGGTGCCTCCTGCCTCTTTTCTATCACTTTGCCAAAATTGGGTATGATCATACTTTTTATCTCTGTTAATAAGATAATTATTTCAATTTATTTCAATTTCAAGTCTTATTGAGCTATGGGTTGGAATTGCATTATATATGTGAATTAGCCAAATTAAACATATTTTAACATTTTTGTGGCTATTTTTATATTCTGAGAATTGTATTTTATTATTGTCATTGACATCTTAGGGCATTCATCTTTTTTCACTTGGAAGAATTTTTTACATATTAATCCTGCAGCATATATGCTACAAATAAATTTTTTGGTTTGGATTGTGGTTGACCAGATATTTGTAGAATGAAAATCGTAAACTTTTACGTAGCCAGATCTCTAAAATGTTTCATTTAAGTGTTGCTCTTTCATGTTATATTTAACTGGATATGAGATTATATAAATATTCATCAGTGTTTTCTTCTAGAGACTTCATAGTTTCATTTTGACACTTTATCTTATTTCTATTTTTATATTACTTGACATGCTTTTTTTAGGTTGTGCATGGTAACAAATGGTCCCCACATATCAGGGGCTTATATTAATAATTAATTACTTCTCACTCACTTTACATGGTGGCTTTGGTTAGCTTTGGTGCTATTCCAGGTGTGCCTCATTCTGGGACCTAGGCAGAAGGGGAAGCCTCTACTCTGGGCTTGCAGGAGGAGGGACAAAGAGCAACAGTGGGAGCATGCAATGGCATATAGAACTTTTACTATATTATGGCATTTGTCATTTCTATTCACATTTCGTTGGCCAAATCAAGCCACATCACTAAGCCTAATGTCAGTGAGGCATGGAAATGTGATCTCATGGGAAAGGCAGCTCATAATGCAGAACTAAGTACAATCTACCTTATTTTTAGAGTAGGGTCTAACTTTATGGTTTTCCAATTACTTAGCTAATTGCTTCAACACTATTTTTTAATAACCCGATTTTTTACACTACTCTGTGATACTACTTTGATTCCATATCATATTCCAATAGGTCCTTCTTCCTGTTCCTAAACTTTCTGTTGGATTTCACTGAGCACCAGGATTATGAGTGCTTTTTAAGTCAGATAGGGTAAGGCCCACTTTATTTCCCTTCATTTAAAAAGAGTTTTGGGGCTGTCAACAGTGGCATATGCCTGTAATCCCAGCACTTTGGGAGGCCAAGGCAAGTGGATCACTTGAGGTCAGGAGTTTGAGACCACCCTGGCCAAAATGGCAAAACCCTGTCTCTACAAAAAATACAAAAATTAGCTGGGCATGGTGGTACCTGGTTGAGGCATGAGAATCACTTGAACCTGGGAACTAGAGGTTGTAGTGAGCTGAGATCATGCCACTGCACTCCAGCCTGGGTGACAAAGTGAGACTCTGTCTCTGAATGAATAAATAAATAAAAATACATAAATAAAAATGAAAAGAGTTTTGGGTATTCTCTAGTTACTGTTCTAGTTGAATTTTTGAAAACCTGTATTCATTCCAAAAAAAAAAAAAAAAAAGAAGTCCTATTGAGCTATGGGTTGGAATTGCATTATATATATATGGATTAATTTGAAAATAACTGATTTGTTTGCCATGTTGTCATTTTATCCATGAAGATAATATGCCACTTTATTTGTCCTGGCCTGTTTTTGATTTTTCTTAGAGCTTTGTAGTTTTTAAGAGCATGTTTTAAACTTTTTTTGCAAGAAACATTTTAGTTTTTGATACTTCTGCAAAGCTAGTTTTTCCATGATTCTTTATAAGTAGTTGTAACTAGTATGTGGAAAAGCTATTGTCTTGTTTCATGATTATTTTCTAGTTTGATAACTTTCTGGACTAGTTTACTTATTTTAATAGTTTTTTTTTTTTTGGCTGATTCTCTTTTATTTTTGAAACCAAGTATTTATACATATTATTGTAGTTTACATATTATTTCTTTTCCTAACTTATTGCACTAACCAAAAATTCTACAAAAATATTGAAAAATATTGTTTTTTTTCATTCGCCATTTTCTTATAAGAGTAAGAAAGATTTTAGCGGGAGTGGGAATCTTACTAACATTTATGAATCATTCTTCTAACCCTAGTGCGGTAGGAGTGTTCAACCAAGAAGACAGTTGAATTTATCAAAGGCTTTTCTTTTTGTCCTTGAAGCTCTCTACAGGGGTTTTTTTCTTGTTTCTATTATTAAATTATACTGATGATTTTATAATATTGAACTATCCTTGCATGTCTAAAAATAATGCTGGCTGGACACAGTGATATTCTTTGAATATGCAGTTATATTTATCTTGCTATAATTGTTTGGATGACTTTTTATATCTATATTTAAATTTTAATTTGTCTTCAAATTTTTAGAGGTTTTTTTGTCACCTTTTTCTATATCAGTTATATTGATTTTATTAAATTAATTAGAGTATCTTTCTCTTTTTTAAAATAACATTTTAGAAGAGTTTGAAGGCTATAGGAATTAATTTATTTCTTAAAAGTATTCAATTCATCCTAAAACATGTTGGGGAAAACTTTTTTTCTTATACTTCTTACATGGCTCTTCGGATTTTTGAGTTTTTGAGTCAAATTATTAATAAATGAATTGAAGCAATTAGTTAAATGGACTCTTCTTGCATCAATTTTAGCTATTTATAATTTCCAGCAAAATTTGCCGATGAGTCAAGATTTAAAAATTAATTGACATAGCCTCTAAGGTATCTTGTACCATTTAAAATATTTCAGAAGTTGTAAATTGAAAACAATATTGAAATTTCAATTTACAAGATTTTAAAGATAGGAACAAAGGCAGAGCAAAGGTGTCAACTCCATCTGCTACCAACAGATGGCGATAGCAGTCACTTTACTTTAGATTTAAGAACAAATGGACTTTGAAAGTATTCCAGAACCTGATCTCTTTAGGAGAAGTTTTACTGTTCCTAACATTACGTAATTGCCTTGCTTCTCTGTTCCCTCCCTCCCTCTTTCTTTCCTCTCTCTCTCCCTCCCTTCCTTCCTCCTCCTCATCCTCCCTCTTTTTCTCCTTCCCTCTCTTCCTTTCTCTTGTCAAGACTTGGAATGCGTTAGTCTTTTCAAAAAATTAGAGCCTGGATTTACTTTTTGATTTATATTTGTTAATTCACGGTTTTTAAATTTAATGTCCTTTTCTAGCTTTTAAAAAGGTGCTTAGTTTATTTTCAATATTATTTAATAATGAAAGCATTTAACTTTATAAATGCTCACTGAATAACACCTTGACTGTATTCCATTGATTTTGATATAATCTACTTTTACTATAATTAACATCTAAATAATATCATTGCAATTTTGTTATGTTCTTATACATAACTATGTAGGAAAGAATTTGTTTCATATTCCATGAAGGGAAGTCTTTAATATCTAACTGCCTACAGTTATGAAGTTGTATAGGGCAGCAAAGTTGTTATAACATGAAAGGTTCACTGATGAAATAATTATTTATGAAATTGATCTTATCTTCAAGGTTTCTTTACCAGTAAGACCAGGGCCTTTATCTGTTGATCTAGTCATATTTCTTTTTCTAGTAACCTCTAGATGATTGTTGCATATTTTTCTGACAAAACATATTAGATTTGATTAAAAAGAGATCCTGTAGAATTTTATGAAGTTGATGAAAGTGATGTTGGAGAACTGCTGGAATCACGTAGATTTCTTTGATAAATTAGGATCTGGCAGAATGCAGCTAGAAGAGAAAAATCTACAAGATGATGACATGATAGTTTCAGAGAAGAAATATCTAAGTAGAAAATCATTAAAAGAACCTTTGGGAAACTGATAAAGTCTTTGCTTTTTCTTAAGAAAAATTACTCTTGATTATTCAGACATAAAGGATATTGTATCCTGAGATCCTAAATTTTGTCAGAACAAATATGCCAAAACTCAGCGTTTAATTTTTCCCAGCACTTTGGGAGGTTGAGGTTGGTGGATCCTGGCCTACATGGTGAAACCTCATCTCTACTAAAAATACAACAACAAAAATTAGCCAGGCAAGGTGGTGGGTGCCACCTGTGATCGCAGCTACTCAGCAGGCCGAGACAGGAGAATCACTTTAACCTTAGAGGTGGAGGTTGTAGTGAGCTGAGATTGAGCCACTGCGCTCCAGCCTGGGCAACAAGAGCGAGACTCCATCTTAAGAAAAAAACTTTTTTC